GACTCTAATTCATCTAGTGTAGAGAGTTGGTAGAAAAAATGAATAGAAAATCTGGACTCACCTAATTTCCCTATGTTATCTTGATCACCATTTTGATTTTGATGGCTCTAATTTCTAGCTGTCCGTTTGTTTTAGAGTACTTAACCCATAAAAATGTGTAGTTCTTAGAAAAGCATTCATGTAGAACATGAAACTTATTAAAAGGGTAGGTAAACAACTTGATAAAACCTAAACAAATCCTTTTTAAAAGGAACTAGGAGGGCCCGTGCAATACATGGGATTTCTTAAACGAAAGCTAAATAATAAAAAAAGTCATTTACTAAAACACTCCCTATTGATTCATGGATTTACTAAAATCTACTCTATAATTTGTATTTTACTAAAACACCACTTTTAATTTGCAATGGGTATAATCAATCTTCCATTAGATGACAGTGTCAACCATAATGTTCATTTAAATAAGTTTAATCAAAAGAARATAAAATACCATTTTTACCCCTAATAARRCACAGACAACCACTCTATTGGCTATATTTGGTCAATTTTTTTTCCTGTACAAAAAAGTGTTAAGGGTATTTTTGGAATAAAAAATCATGGGCCTAATGACAAAACAAACACTCCTTAATGAAAGGTTGATTAAGTAAATAAGTTATAAAATCTATGGGATATTTTAGTAAAATGAAAACTATTTGGTGTGTTATACTAAATGACCCTAATAGAAACACATAAGAGTATATAATTGTTTCATATTCTCAATTTTTTTAAATAATTAATAATTATTCATATTTTATATACTACTTTTAATAAATCTTTTATAATATAAAAATAATAATAATTAATTTCAGTTAGGTTTATTCATCAAACTGATCAAACTGACCAACTTGATCAAYTCAACTCGAGTTGGTTGGTTTTATAATATTTTAGGTTGGCTTTGGTTCAAAAATTTCTCAACTCGACCAAGTTTGATCAGATTCGTTTTGGCCATTTGTAAACCAACCAAAATTGGATGACCTAACCACTGATATATATTAATATTTTATATTTTAAATATGGAAAAGTGGGAAATTTTCCATATTTCTTAGTCTAAAACATTTGTATCATAAATTTAATTTTTAAATTTATTTTTTAACAATTGCATTGTAATTTTTAAAATTTAAATTTAATTTTTAAGTTTAAATCTTTTGAACTGACTGACCAAACCAAAAAGTCAACCTAAA